AAATATGGGGAAGTCTAAGTTCAACCGTATTTGGTTGGAAAACATCAAATGTAGTGCTTGGTTGAAACCAGTGGAGGGGAACGTGTTTGAAGCCCGCCGCACCTTTTGCAAAGAAATGTAGCGTTTTTTTTTGCAAATGTAGCGTTAGCTAGTGCAGCAGCTCCCGCAACAACATCGGGGGACCTCCGGGCGAGGACGTTTAGGTTTGAATACATTTACTTTGAAAGTAATTATGGGACGTATTTCTTCTTTCATAGCAATTTGTCTTCATACTTTCTTGCCGTGAAATAGGTCTTAAATTCTATTCAAAGTGGTCTTAAAAAGGTCTTAAAAAGGTCTTAAATTTGAGTTGGCGAAACCTGCAGGAACCCTGTATTAGGAGAAAAGGAATATTGTCAGTCTTAACATTTTAGGGAATTTCACGTAAGTCACTGATTTGGAACGGATCTAAAATCGAGCAATTTCTTAAAAACCCAACCCGACTGAACCCTAAGTTATTAAAGCCACCTGTGGCACCCTTGTATTTCAAGGCAGGGTAACTTCAGACATTTGTCAGGTCATTCACTCATAACATTCCCATTGCTGACGTCTGATACGGAATACAGTAAATCGGACACAGGTGTGTGCATCCATCTGGCCTGTGCAATTTATCTTCTCCTTCTCACCATGTCATGCAGTCAACATAACACGTTGCTCTTTTGTTTCCAGTCTCGCATGGAGGACAAGGTGCAGCGATTCAAAAAAGCCGTGGATTATTTCTCAGCTGCCTCCAAACCTCGCTCGCCCAACATGGGGCCCTCAGCTTTCATCTGTGAGTAGTTCAAGTCTAGACATCAATGGTCCACACTCTTGCATCATCATTTGTTGATGTACTACATGTGTATGTATTTAAGAGGAGAAGATATTCATTTACGTCTTTGTTTCTTCTGCTCAGTACCTGGGTTTGGATTTGGGGGACCACCCGGCCACATGGGACCGATGCAGCCTGGAAAGAATCAGGTAGATTCCCCAACTCAGGAATTCTTTCTCCCTCCTTGGTGTGTGTGTAATTAGATCTCCATGTAGCAGAATGCATTACGGTTTATCAGAACAAATAGGACGGTATTGTATGATTTAGTTTTAAGTTTCAAAGCTTCCTTTTTAGCTCTTTTCCAATATTTAGCATTTCCTTTTTAGTTTAGTCCCAGTATTTCTGCACAGTACAGATAAAGATTAGGCTACAGTAATATTATTAGTAATATAATCGTGTATATCGTGGTAAGGCAAAAGATGAAGTATTACAAACGGCTGATATGAAATGGTATGCACTTCCTGTCTCTAAGTGGTCTGATGTATTTATACATTATTTGGTTATTTTACACATTAACACAGCTTAAAGAGCTGTTAAGCTTTACTAAAATGAGTTTGCTAGGGCGATCACAAACATTAATTCTCGTTTGCTTAAAAGTGTTCAACTTAAAAAAACATTTTGAGTACCGTTACCACTTTTTGTTCCAGATCCACTTGAGATGGACAAATCAGACAAACTTGACTCTCAGAAGCTACATTTCTCATGAGTTTTCTGCAAAAATGCTATTTGAGTCTCAGAACGTCAGACAACTGGCCTGTGAAGAAAGAGTAGACTTTTCCCTTTGGAACATTGGGAGAGAGAATCCGTCATAATCTGCGTTCATGAGAGTTAATATACTCAGGCCGGCTGCTGGTCTCATAAAGGGGCGGGCAGTGCCGAAAATAATAAAGGGTATTACTTTATTCCAACTGAGGATTCTTTTAGAGGATTTATAAAAACGTTCATTTAAATGAAGTCATAAATATGAGGACTGACGGCTTTATATGAAGAACTATAAAATAAAAATATATTCAGTCCGGCCCTTGTATTAGTTCACATCTCTGAAAGGACCCCTCGCCTCCCTTTCTCTCCTCGCTTCGCTCCTTGCTTTTACATTACATTGCATTTAGCTGGCACTTTTATCCAAAGCGACTTCCAATAAGTGCATTCGACCAAGAAGATACAACCTTGAAGAAAACAGAATCATATAAGTACATCAGGTTTCATAGAGCTAAAACATTTCAAGTGCTACTCAACTGGCTTTAGATAAGCCAGTCCTTTATTAGTATATAAGTGCTCTGTTAGCAGTTCTTTGTTAGTCATCCTATCGCTCGAAGTGGAGTCGAAAGAGATGAGTTTTCAGTCTCCCCCGGAAGATGTGTAAGCTTTCTGCTGTCCTGATTTCAATGGGGAGCTCATTCCACCATTTTGGAGCCAGGATAGCAAACCCACGTGTTTTTGCTGATGGGAACTTGGGTCCCCCTCGCAGTGAGGGTGCAGCGAGCTGTTTGGCCGATGCAGAGCGGAGTGCACGTGCTGGGGTGTACGGTTTAACCATGTCCTGGATGTAGGAAGGGACAGATCCATTCGCAGCATGGTACGCTAGTACCAGTGTCTTGAAGTGGATTCTAGCAGTTACTGGAAGCCAGTGAAGGGAGCGGAGGAGCGGCGTGTTGTGGGAGAATTTAGGAAGGTTGAAGACCAGACGAGCAGCTGCATTCTGGATGAGCTGCAGAGGTCGGATGGCACATGCAGGTAGACCAGCCAGGAGGGAGTTGCAGTAGTCTAGGCGTGAGATGACGAAAGCCTGGAGCAGAACCCGCGTCGCTTTCTGGGTCAGTTGGGGACGTATCTTCCTGA